GTTCTTATCCCATGGCAAGTAAAACATGGTGTTGGATTTGCCTTCATTCAAAATAAAGTCAAATATTATCAGCCTGTTAAACTGAAATTGAAACTCACAGCCTGCAAGTCAGATTACTTGACTATTTGTAGCTGAAAATTAACACTATTTTTCCCCATCTTCCAGGATTTGTTAATACTCACTCTCTTTTCGAAAAGAGGGCACAATTATTTATTTGCTAGATTTGCAACCCACCTTTTTGTAGGGAAGTTAAGATGGTTGCCTCCCTTAGTTTTACCAACCAACATCTCCCACACTAAAGCAAAGAATTTTCTGCAAGTAGCATTTGAGGTGCTTACCACATTCTCAAATGCCCTTTTTTATTTGTGTCTATCTTCACATGCTTTCTTGATAGGGAATGGCTGAGCGGAATCAAATCCTTCGTAACAGAAGCTATAAATATTGTGTTCGTGTCTGTGCATATAGATTGGATAATGTAGATTTAATGCAGGAGAAACCATGTCTCCCCTTAAAAAATTCAATGTAAATATGAAACTTTTGCAATTGGGGGAAAAAAAACCAGAAGAAAGAGAAGAGGTTGCAATGAACTTTGATGGTTTTAGATCTTCACTCTGTTTTCCTATAATGCATGATCAGATTGTGGTTGGAAGCAATTACAAAAAAGAAAAGAGGAAATTCTCTGATCAGATTTGGGTGGCTCAGAAAGGATTTCCATTGTCCAGACATCCGACAACAGTTTGATGATGGTCATGTCCAGGATGTTTGCATTACAACAGTACAGAAGGTGGCTTGGTGTTGCCTTCTGGATTTCCCCTTATTTCTATTAAGGGCTATTAAAATTTCCTCCAGCTTTATCATTTCAGCATTGTTATCTTTAGGATTGCAGGATTACAGATTTTTAGGATTATCAGAAATATTCACCATGGTGGATGACTAAAAACTAATCAGAGACCTTGATGTTCCCTAGCTGAGAGCTTACATGGATATAACTGTTCATTTCACTTGACGGATACTGAAATGGATTGTGACTGAGGTTTTCTGAGATTTCCCCCCCCCCAACTCTAGCCTACCTATTCTGCAGTCCTAGTTTGGTCTGGTGGTCTCATATTCACGTACTAATAGAACCAAACATATTCCATTCCCCGTGGTCCTGAATAAGTCTTTAAGCCTTCAGTCTGACCTTGGCTGCAGGCAGCTTCATGGACATCTTCATATAGTTCTCATGGGCAAAAAATAAAATAAAAACTGAAGTCTTCATCTCCTTTGTTCTAAGATGTTTCTTTAACAGTTGGCAAATCAAAGGTAAGGATCAGGCATGCAAGAATTGATGGCTTACATATTAACATTTGCCACTAATTTATTCTTAGTGGGATTTTAGCCTGTAATTTGCTTTTCTTCTTCAAGCCCTTCCTGTGATACTTCTCATCTGTCACAGTATGAGGCAAGACACAAAGGTGTCTTACTGTAGAGATAAAGCATTCTTTGACATACGTTTGACTTGTGCGAACTTTATAAATAAATTTAATAAATAAGTAGAGAGGCCTGCATACTCTAAGTAGAGTAGGGTAGGTCTACTCTTGCCTTTTCCTTGAGCATGTTTACTTTTTACTTCCCAGTTCAACCTACAGCCTGGGATCTTCAATTGTTACCTCCAAGTAGATCTGACCCTGCTTAGCTTTTTCCAAGGACAACATAAAAAGAATAGATTAACAGAGTTGGAAGGGATCTTGGAATTCTTTGGTCCAACCCCTGTTCAAGCAAGAGACCCTGTACCATTCTGGACAAAAGGCTGTCTAATCTCTTCTTAAAAAACTTCCAGTGATGGAGCACCCACAGCTTCTGGAGGCAAGTCATTCCACTGATCAATTGTGTGTTTCAGTCTAGCCATCATCATCCATTAGTCAGGGCAAGGGACAAAAACATGCAACCACAACACAAACTTGGTGACTCAGATATTCACAACCAAGGTCAGAGCACAACCAAGTAGAAAAGGGCAGAGTTTGCATTCTGACATCATATTGTCCATTTTGTAACATTTTCACCATTAGTTAGCAGCTGATGTCTTTATGGGAATCCTCCACCACCTTTTACTCAGGTTTAACCTCCTCTGAGATCAGACAATGTCTGCTTAGATGCTTTTTTTAAAAGAACATATTTAGTTTGACCCAACCCTACTGAAAAGCAACTGTCTTTCATAGAATTGTTCAAGTAGTTTTGCAGGTTGTAGTCTAAACTTCCCATGTTATTCTAAAACTTTTGGGTTGTTATCTGACAGGAAGAGCAAATCAAGCAGTCTCTTCTGCTTGAGCAGGGGGTTGGACTAGAAGACCTCCAAAGGTTCCTTCCAACTCTTGTCTTATTCTGTTAATAATTTAACTGAACACTAAATCAAGCTGGGCTATGCTGCCATCTAATGGCGAAATATCATGTGTGTAGCTGGTTTTGCAACAAATTTTATTAAAAGTCATCCGCTTTGGAGCAGAGACGCACTTCATTTCATCAGAAGCATAGATGAAATGAGAGGGAACTCACAAACCTTGGAGCCTTTTACACTTGTCAGCAGGAAAGCTTGTACCAGATTCCTGGTTTTAGAATAACTCAATTCTCATTCTGCAGTGGCTGAATTCAAGATGGTAAGTGATCTACTGTCCCCTTAAATTGAAACTTTATTGAAATATAATTAAAATTATGCACTTTAAATACATTGTAAAAGTGTACTTTGCATCCTCCCGCCCCTCTTTTTGAAAATCTCCCCCTGCCAGACAGCTTTGACAGTGACAAAGTTCAGATATGCAAGAAATGACATAAACATCAGAAATGGAAAACCATCAATGCCAAGAGAGATTTGCAAGCCACACACAAGAGAAAGGGGGAAAAGCGAGACATGTAGGAAGGGAAGGAACCCTACCCCAAATTTTAAAAACAAAATATCTACCAAGGCACTGATAGGATTTTTCCAGGGCTGAGAACAAAATATTATCCTGAGACAGAATTGTGATTATTATGACACCAGCCTGTCATTTCTTAATAATAGCAATTCATATAGCACCATTGAGCATATGTGATGCTTTACACAGTAAAGTAAAATACTGGATTTGAATTCTGATGAGATGATGCACAGAAGGCTTCCTGCCACAGATCCTTGCACAGAGGGCTTCCTTCCCTCCTGATCCCAAAGCAAGATACGCTTTCCTTAGACGCAACATTCATATTTCAAGAAACACAGCCTATAAGACAGAGTTACACTTCTGTATTCTTGTTCCAGTTGAACTAAGAATGGGACCTGAAACCAATTTGTTTCTGCAGAAACATTTCTCTAGCTCATGAGAGAAGTTTCTCTTTCTGCCTTTTAAAAAAAAAAATTGTATTCCACCTTTACTATTTTTAGAAGTAACTCAAGGTGGTGAACACGTCTAATATTCCTCTTCCTTCCTATTTTCCCCATAACAACAACCCTGTCAGGTGAGCGTGGCTGACAGAGAGGGACTGGCCCAAAGTCACCCAGCCAGTTTTCATGCCTAAAGCAGGACTAGAACTCCCAGACTCCTGGTGATTGGCCCACAGTCTCCTGGTTTTTTAGCCTGATGCCTTCACACTAAACCAGACTGGCTCTCTTTTTTATTACTGGCCCAAGATATTATTCTGATCGAAGCAAACATCTATCCTGACTTTTTGGGTCAATACACAGTGGTGATATTTTAAATTAAAATACTGGGGATAGTTCTTGTTCTCCCACTCCTCTGAGTCTGGTCTCCATGGTATCATTCCTGACATTCATTTCTTGACCAACGGCTCTCAAGAATCATTCTTTCTCCATTTTCCTCCTTTATAGATTGCTCCTACATCTAGCTCCGTCGTATGTCCTCCTTCACCTCTTGCTGGATTTATTCTACTGTTGACAGTTTATCTCCAAGTCACATGAATGTCTCAAGCTTACCATTCAATCACGCCAACTCAATCATTGGCCGAAAGACGCAGTTTCAACACCACTATTCTGGCAATCATTTTTTTTAAAAAAAAACCCTTTTGTATCTAAAAACCATCTAGAACAGGCTCCAGAAATGTCAGCAACATTTATGCGTATCGATAAAAGGCACCAAGCATATGTCTAAAATGTTTGCTTTTACAGGTAGTCCTTGACATACAACTGATCACTTCGTGACCCGTTAAAGTCACGACTGATTCAAAATTTTGAGTGTTGGAACCACCTTGCAATCATCAGGGGTTGGCAACATCTCACTGTATTTACAGTAATTTGTAGCGTCCCTCAGTCATGTGGCTGCAAGGGTTTTGCCGAAAATGGGTATTTCTGTTTTTTGGGCAAAAATTTCCCACAAGGGAACCATGGATTTACTTAACGACAGTGGCCTCTGCTTAACAACTGCCATGTTCGCTATATGATTACAGCTTTCATGACTGTTATATGACATGTGACCATAACGGAAAGACTGCTTTATGGTCATCAGTGAAGGACTATCTGTAAGGCAGTTAAGAAAGAGAGGAAAGAGCAAGAAATAATTAAACTTGGATTGGACAGCTGGAACAGAATTAGTGAAATGTGGCAGAACCCCTCTTGAAAAAGATGGGTCTCCAACCTAGGGGAAATGTTCTGTTTTACTCCAAGAGCACTACTCCTTGTAGCACATGGAAGCAGGATGCCAGAATCTGGAAGGGTCCTGTTGCAAAACATCGAGAAATCATACCAAATCTGAAAAAAAGTTTTCTTCCTATTAGTAGTTTAGAATGATGTAGTAGATCTGTTGGATTGGGAAAAAAAGTCTATTGTTTGATTGTAGATTTAAGTCCCTTCTTGTCTTCTCCAATGGAATTTCCTCCCCTACCCCAAAAATAGCAGCATTTAACAAAATTAAAATGGCATCTGTCTGCCCCAAATTTATCCTCCGTAAGTCTGCTTTGGCCAATATGTAGAGAAAACAAAGAGGGAACATTTCTCCATTATTATTTTTCTTCAGCACTGACAATAGTCAAAGGAAGCACTCGGGGTAGTAAAATACTGTTCCTTGGAAATGGAGAGAGATTGTCCCAAGAAAGTTAGAAGGCGAGCTTTTTCGGAACTTCCCAAGAAAATTCACTTCTTCCAAAATGACCGTAACAAGCCGTCTTCTGATAAATGGGCTTCCTTAAATCAAGATCCCTAAGTGTAAAAAAAAAAAGTTATTATTAAAGTTGCTTTCCCCCCCCCCCTTTGGATGCAGGCTATACAGGTACTCTTCGACTTACAAAAGTTTGTTTAATGGCGTTCGAAATTATGACGGCACTGAAAAAAGTGATTTAGAACCATTTATCACACTTACAACCTTTGCAACATCCCCGTGGTCACCGGATCAAAATTCAGATACTTTGCAAATGACTCACATTTATGACAGTTGCAGTGTCCCAGGATCATGTGATCTCCTTTTGCAACCTCCTTGACAAGCAAAGTCAATGGGGAAACCAGATAAAGCAGCCATTGATCTCCAATAAATGATGAGTTTCCCTGCCCCACACATACTTATCTGATAAGCTATGAGGTAAAAGCTTTGAACAAGCAGACTTTCCATTGGTATCTTGCTGACCATTCCAGACCAGAAGACTGACCTCAATAGACCTCTTGGTTGATCCAGCAAGATACTTGTTATGAAAGGAGATACCACAAGCCAGTCCCACCACAAACTAGTCAAGGGTACATTAAAAAAAAAGAAGCAACCATGGTCATTTTGATAAGTGAATTTATATACATCCATTTCACTTCTGGATCATTCTGGGCCAGAAGAAACATGAGCTTTCTTGAAGGCCAATTTTTCCTTGTGACATTCCCTGCAAATCTCTGGAACATTTTGTCCTACAGATGAGGCAATCTTCTCACTCAAAAAACTCCAAGCTTTCATTTGGATAATTAGCCCTTTACTGACAGAACTGCTGTCATCCCTATAAATATGCCCCTTGTCAGAGGTCAGGTTTTAAGCCCTGGAATTGCCTAACATTTGAAACCAAGACTCTTTTTCCACTTGGCTAAATTGTAGCAAGAACTATTTGAAGAGGGACTCCATGTTGAGTATGAAGCTGGAACCTTCACAAAGTGACATATTTGAAATGGTTGAAATCTCTCTCTCTCCCCCCTCCCCCCCCTCTCTCTCTCACACACACACCAGGACTATCATACTTCCAAGGATAGGAGAGCACACCATAAATGCTTCCCAATCAACCAATTGTTTTTACTTTGCCCCAAAGCGAAATACTCACTTGACAATGGCTCCGGGTCGAAGATCAAAATTTTGGTGGACAATGTTGAGCAGCTCTTGCTCAGTGTAGGCAGAGGTACCGTACGTGAACAAGGAGATGGACAGCGGCTCAGCCACTCCAATAGCGTAGGCAACCTAGGTGGCAAGAAGGAGACACTTTGAGGCTGGCTTCGTGCATGTCATCCACAGATTCATTTGGTGGCCACTCCTTTAGTCAGTGAAAAGGTGGAAGGTCCAGGTTTTGAGAAGGAGGGAGAAAACTGTCCATGATTGCCCAAATATTCAAATACAGAATGGCATTAATCAGAAAGAACAGAGGACCAATTTAAAATTTAAAGTGATTATGACTGAACTTTTCAAATTGTATTTTCTTTCTGGATTACAATATTGAAGGATGGATGGATGGAAGATAGACAGGCGTGTGTGTGTGTGTGTGTGTGTGTGTAAGAGAGAGAGAAAAACAGACACAGAGAAAGAGATAATAGAAAGAGAGATTCTTTGAATATTACTGAAATAGATACAAGAATGGAAAAACTTAAATAAATGCACATTGTACAGTAAAGATTTTGATATTAAACAGTTGATCTTGTTTTTCAAACTGTATTTTGTATACTGGATTACAGTAGTGAGGGAGAGAGAGAGGATGAATGGATATCAGATACTAGGTAGGTAAGTAGGTAGATAGGTAGATATAGATGATAGATAGATAGATAGACAGAGAGATGATAGATAGATGATTGACGAGAGAGAGGGGGGAGAGAGATGGAGGGAGGGAGGGAGGGAGAGAGAGAGAATGAATGGATATCAGATATTAGGTAAGTAGGTAGATAGGTAGATATAGATGATAGATAGAGAGATGATAGATAGATGATTGACGAGAGAGAGAGAGAGAGAAAGAGAGAGAGACGGAGAGAGGGAGGGAGGGAGGGAGAGAGAGAATGAATGGATATCAGATATTAGGTAAGTAGGTAGATAGGTAGATATAGATGATAGACAGAGAGATGATAGATAGATGATTGACGAGAGAGAGAGAGAGAGAAAGAGAGAGAGACGGAGAGAGGGAGGGAGGGAGGGAGAGAGAGAATGAATGGATATCAGATATTAGGTAGGTAAGTAGGTAGATAGGTAGATATAGATGATAGATATATAAACAGAGAGATGATAGATAGATGATTGACGAGAGAGAGAGAGAGAGAAAGAGAGAGAGACGGAGAGAGGGAGGGAGGGAGGGAGAGAGAGAATGAATGGATATCAGATATTAGGTAGGTAAGTAGGTAGATAGGTAGATATAGATGATAGATATATAAACAGAGAGATGATAGATAGATGATTGACGAGAGAGAGAGAGAGAGAAAGAGAGACGGAGGAAGGGAGGGAGAGAGAGAATGAATGGATATCAGATATTAGGTAGGTAAGTAGGTAGATAGGTAGATATAGATGATAGATATATAAACAGAGAGATGATAGATA